CTCTGTGTAGCTTTGCGCCTTTCCTGGAGCTCACTTGGTAGCCCAGGCTGGCCTCGAACTCACAGAGATCCACCTGCCTCTGCCTCCCGAGTGCTGGGATCCCAATCTCTTTCTATTGATTTTAGTTTGAAGTCTATTTTTTATTAGATATTAGGATAGCTACACCAGCTTGCTTCTTAAATCCATTTTTTTGAAAAGTCTTTTCCTAGCCTTTTATTCTGAGGTTTATTCTGTGTCTGTCTTTGAAGTTGAGGTGTGTTTCTTGTATACAGCAAATGGATGGATCTTGTTTTTGTATCCATTCTGTTAGCCTGTGTCCTTTTACAGGTGAATTGAGATCATTGATATTGATGAATATTAATGATCAGTTATTGTTAATTCCTGTTATTTTTTTGGTGGTAGTGTTGTATGTTTCCCTTCTTTGGTATTTGTTGGTATGGGACTATCTATTGCCTGTGTTTTCATGGGTGTATCTAACTTCCTTAGGTTGGATTTTTCCTTCAAGTGCTTTCTGTAGGGGTATATTTGTGGAGAGATATTGTTTAAATATGGTTTTATCATGGAATATTTTGTTTATTCCATCTATGTTGATTGAGAGTTTTGCTGGGTATAATAGTCTGGGTTGGCATCCATGGTCTCTTAGTATCTGCATAATGTCTGTCCAGGACCTTCTGGTTTTTAGAGTCTCCATTGAGAAGTCAGGTGTTATTTTTATGAGTCTGCCTTTATATGTTACTTGGCCTTTTTCCTTTGCAGCTCTTAATATTTTTTCTTTATTCTGTATGTTTAGAGGTTTGATTATTATGTGGCGAGGGGACTTTTTTTGGGATCCAGTCTATTTGGTGTTCTGTAACCTTGTATTTTTATAGGCATTTCCTTCTTTAGGTTGGGAAAGTTTTCTTCTATGATTTTGTTGAATATATTTTCTGTGCCTTTGAGTTGGTATTCTTCTCCTTCTATCCTTATTATTCTTAGGTTTGGTCTTTTCATGGTCTTCCTTAAGACCCAGTTGTACCACTCTTGGGCATATACCCAAGGAATGCTCAATCTTACCAAAAGGACACACGCCCAACTATGTTCATATCAGCATTATTTGTAATACCCCGAACCTGGAAACAACCTAGATGCCCCTCAACTGAAGAATGGGTAAAGAAAATATGGCACATATACACAATGGAGTACTACTTAGCAGTAAAAAAAACAATGATATGAATTTGCAGGCAAATGGTTGGAACTAGAAAATATAATCTTGAGTGAGGTAACCCAGACTCAGAAGGACAAACATAGTATGTACTCACTTATAAGTAGATCCTAGATGTGAGGGAAGGGATAGTCAGACTGTAACCCACAACTCCAGAGAGGCTAGCTAACAGGGAAAGACCCTAGGAGGGACACATGGATGACCCTGTGAAGGAGAATGTGGATGAGATCCATATGAGTGGACTGGGTGTGGGGGTGTTGCAGAGGGCGAGGAGTGGGGGAGGAGAACATAGGGAAATGGGAGGTCAAGCTGGAACAGGGACAGAGTGGGAGGGCAGGGAGGAAGATACCATGATAGATGAAGACATCATGGGAAAAGGAAGAGGCAGGGTGCTGGGGAGGCTCTCAGGAACCCATAAGGATAACACCACCTTGGACTACTGACAGTGGTCCAGAGGGTGCCTGGACCTGTCTTCTACTCTAGTGACCAGCCTAGCAAATAACCTAGCTGTCATCATAGAGCCTTTGTCCAGTGACTGATGGAGTCAGATGCAGAGATCTACGGCCAGGCACCAGGCTGAGCTCCGGGAATCCAATTGATGAGAGAGAGGAGAGATACTGCAGCAAGGGGCGTCGAGATCATGATGAGAGGACGTGCAGAGATGACCGGCCATACTAGTAACTAGAACAGCCTATTAACTGTGGACTGGTGGCTGTGGATCCCCCATGGGACTGGACTAGGCCCTCTGGATATAGAAGACGATTGTTTTGCTCCAACTGTTTGGGGGGCACCCAGGCAGGGGGATCGGCATCTGTCCCCAGTCTATGGGCAGACTTCTGGTATCCAGTGCCTGTGGTGTGACACCTTGCACAGCCTTGGTGCAGTGGTAAGGGGCTTGGACCTGTCTAGGCTCAGTGTGCTGGGCTCTGCTGATTCCCCATGGGAGACCTCGATTTGGGGGATGTGGGGATGCAGGGTGGCTTGGGAAAGAGAACTGGGGAGTGGGAGGAGGGAGGAGGGGGGGTGTCTGTGGATAGTATGTGGAGTGAGTAGAAAATTTCTGAATAAAAAAAATGAAAAAAATAAAGAAAATGCTACAGTTGTTCATACAGCAAAGTATATGCTATTTATCTAGAGCCGTCAATTACTAGGTTATAAGTAATTGGTACTAATTCCATATCACAGATAGGAACTAAGACTCAGACGCAGCCAATTAACAGAGCACGAGCTATCTCATGCTAACCCAGGACACAGGCAAAGTCCCTGAACTTCAGACCCACGCTCTGAGCCCGTCTCACACCCACTGTTGCAGGATTACAGCTCTGTGCATCTTCGCTTCTGACAAACAGAACCAACCAACTCCATAGTATTCTTAGCAGAGTAGTTTTCCTCTGTGTGATCCTGACCTTGGGCTCTGCTCTTTTTCTTCCCAACAAAAGTGCAGGTTGGCAGCACCTGTACCTCGTGGGATAGGACTGCCAATGAAGCCTAGTCACAATGTCATCTTCCTCATCGCTGACTGCTTTAAAGGTTCTGTACAAACTGGCCTCCTTCCAGCATATGCTTTCTCACTGCTAAACTAAAGGGAGGTCTGCTCCCTTACAGCAAAGCTCACAGTATAAGGACAATTGTCTAATATAAAGCATTACATGAAGCACTTTCCACGATGAAGCAAGAGCATCTAGAACTGGACCCGGAAGGAGCATGTCTGTTACAGTTTGGCTCGGATGCTTCCTAGCCAGAGGAGCTGTGAAAATCCCTCAGAATCTGCAACCTTCCAATCGAAAGAGAAAAAATGAGAAAAGGAAAAGCATCAGCTTTCATGCAGCACAGAGCATGGGTCTCCTGGGTAGCTTTTGAGGAATGCACCCAGGAAGCATCCCACAGGGAAGCAGACTGCACATTCAGGCAGGGTTACAATCTAACAACAGTCAGGTGGTACTCAAAGTGAGAGCGTTTGGAAGGTGCTGGATTAATTGACCACATCACAGAGCTGCTTTAAGAAAAGCCACTGGGACTCAGGGTTGGTTTAGTACACAATAATTTAGAGTGATATAAAATAAGAAAACACCATCGTGAAACCCATTCGCATGCATAATCAACATCTGTTAATAAAAACTTAAAAATACCCTCAACAATAGAAATACATTTACATGTGTATAAAAGTCCCATCCATCAAACTAAGTGCCTGATGATAAACACGCACACACACTGCGCCTCTGCGCCACCACAGATGCAGGGACCATTTTTAAATTGTGTGCTTCATCGCCCTGTAAGCTGTCTTCAATATTATTATTTTTATTTATTTGTTTTTCTTCTTTCCCTTACACATTAGAAATCAGAAAAATGATTATTCATCTTGTTTATTCAAAATTAACAAATATGGTATTTTCTCAATGTTCTTGAACAGCTAGGAAGATTAGAACTAAGACCCCAAAAAGAAATTGAGCAATTAAAAATGTAAAGTAATTTGCCTAAAGTTACTTAGTTCAATGATCCTCCTTACTAAAACACAAAAATTGCATTTCAGATGGCTTACAGCAGTATTCTGACATTCTGCTTTTGGAAACAAGACCTCTTTAGCTAATCTTCCTGCTTATTTTTTTCCTATTGCCCGATAATACAGTTATATCTATACTGTTTGTTGACAGCATTTCAGATGAACCCAGTTTGTACACAATGCCCTCTCGAAATAGCACCTCTTTTCCATAGCTTTCCTTTAATTAGACTTACTGAAAGGATTACATAATTTATATCATTAAGAGGGAGATTACATGTTCCCTAATTATAAACTAGCTTCTGTGCTTTGTTGTTACTGCAGACTTTGATGCATTCACGTTCACACCCAATTCTCACATTGAACCCTATTCCTAAGTCACTGCAGGACTAAATACCTGCTCTGGGCAGAGCTGTCTGCACAGAGACCCAAGCTGCAGGGGACCTGGCTTGAAGCAGTACCTTCTGCATGGGGACCCCACACCCGGGAGCACCCACCTCTCACCAGCGCCTTCTGCATGGGGACCCCACACACGGGAGTACCCATCTCTCACCAGTCTTCTTCATGGTGACCCCACACCCGGGAGTACCCACCTCTCACCAGCACCTTCTGCATGGGGACCCCACACCCGGGAGTAGCCACCTCTCACCAGCGCCTTCTGCATGGGAACCCTAACTGTAGGAGTGCTCATCTCTCAGCAATGAGTTCTGCATAGGGACACTCGCTTCAGGTGTACCTGTCTCTGCAATGTCTTCTGCGTGGAGACTCTCCACACAGGAGAACCTGCCTTTTAGCAGCGCCTTGTGCCTGGGGACTTTACCTTGGCAGGCTTGTTGGCATCCATGCTCTCTTTGAATTTCTCCTGCACAGTTGCTGCAAGCTGACAGAGCAAGGCACCATTATCCAACTTCTCCATGAAGGTTTCTGCTGTTATCTCTTTCCCTGAAATAACACAAAAGAGTATCACAAAAACATTCTTCCCCTAGCATGGGCATCAGAGTCCCACTGAAGAGCAGAATTTCATTAGGAGCTGCTTCTATTCATTCCTAGCAAATTCCCCGAAGTGGGGACTGACTATAAGAATGGTTTATTTAGCATTTTATGTTTCCATTTTATGGCTGGAATCTCAACATTTTATATTCATTCTCATAGTACAAAAGTTGTATTTCATGTTAATTTGGCAAAATTCACACCATTTAGCAGCTACCAGACAAAATGAAAACCAGTCAATGAAACTCAAAGAACCAGCCTTCTGAGGAATTCTAAATTTACAGAAAACAAATGTATTAGAACCAAATGCATGTTGCCTCTCAGCATATAAAGATATTGGGTCTCTCTGATTTGTTCATTTATCATCCTTGGTAGTCCATTCAATCGTTTTGGCTTGCAAAGCAGACTGGTATTTCATATCTGCAATATATCTATTTATAACAACCATAGCTCAATTGTGAGAGTACCTGTTCAGCACTCATTAAAGCAGAAATTCACTCCTCAGCAACACATAAGAACATCCATGAGTGGTGGCGCACAACTATAATCAAAACATTCAGGAGGTAGAGGCAGGAGGATCAGAAGCTCCAGATCATCCTTGGCTACATCTGAAGTTGAAGGCCAGCTTCAATAAAAAGAAAATAAAAAAGAAAAGAAAAGAAAATCAAAAGGGGCTGAGGAGATGGCTCAACTGTAAAGTGCTTGACATGCAAGCATGGGGAACTGAATTCAGAGCCCTAGCACTCATGTTAAAAAAAAAAAAAAGAATGAAAAGGAAGGAAAGAGAGAGGAAGGGGAGAGGGAGGGAGAGAGGGAGGGGGAGAGAGAGTGAGAGAAAGAGAGGGGGATGACTTATAAAGAAAAAACGGAGGTCCAGGCCTTTGACCCTGGCATTGAGGAGGCAGAGGCAGGAGGCTCTGCTAGCACCTGTTTAACTGAATCCGTGAGCTCCCGGTTCAGTGGGAAACCCTGTCTAAAAATAAGTTAGAGGGCAACTGAGGAAGACATCTGATGTGGATCTCTGACCCCTCCTTAAGCTTGAGCTTAGGCAAACACACCCATGTGAACCAACCACCATACAGGCATGTGCATAAACACACACACACACACACACACACACACACACACACACACACACACACACGAAAGAAACAAAAAGCAAACAAACAAAAACTCTTTGGTTCTTTTTAAACAGAACAATAGTACATGAACTATCACTGACAACTCTAATAAAAAGGCCACTAAACCTCATCCAAACTATATTAAAACCTCATTTCTAAACTGTATTAATGCAATACTCTTGATTAAGATTCAGGTAATATTGTTGCAAAAGATAAAAATCTAAGTAAAAGAATAAAAGCCACTTGAGCATCCCCCTCTGCAGGCAGCCTTGAGATGGCAATTCCAGAGCTCCGCTTTGCTCCTCCCTCCCCACACAGGTGGGAGGTGGCCTTCACAGGGCCACCACTACTCTTACAAGCTTATGGTCCTCAACCCATCATCTCCACACTTGACTGGATCCCAGGTAGCCATTTCCTCTTCTGAGATGATGCCCAGAGTGTATTTTCTTTCTCCCTATTTATTTTCATTTTGAGATAACTTTAAGGAGATCTACTCCATATATTTTATTATTTGCCATTTTAATGTATATAATTCAAATGTTGTACATCTATTCAGAAACGTACAATCATCAACATAATTTCCGAACATCTTGTTCAACCTCCTTTAGCTCCATGAACCCCAACCATGGAAGCAGAACCACCACTTGTGTCTTTCCAAGCTGTCACAACTCATCTTTCCTAAGACCTCCCCTTTGCCTGGGTCCTCATTGTCAGGGCTTTCTTGCTGCCTTAATTTCCCACGAGTTGAAAGTCACCAATCCTGCTGTTTCAAGCTGTCTCTTTTGCCCGTGCCATCATGGTCTGATGACTGACATGATGACCACAAGAATAGGGGCTATTTCCTAGGTCTGTAGTCACTATTCAGTGCTATACACCATCTTTCCTCATTCAGTATTCACTCAGACACCTTTACTAATGCTCTTGATCCCACTTCTACCTTGCAAAAATTATCCATCCAATATATCCCAACCCAATGGCCTCCATTGATGCCTCTAACCACATCTGTGATCAAATGATTCCGTCTGCCTGTTGTCCACATACAGCCTTGATCAGACACCTCACAGACTTTCTACTCTTTCTGGCATGCCTTCAGTGTCCTGCTCTCTCACTGGATGAGTTCCATCTCCCCTTACTCTGCCTCCCAGAAGTGATTTACCAGGGCTCACTACTCTCTTCTGTATAGTCATTCTCACAAACAGTTTTTGTTTTAGGTGTATATCAAGCATTTTCTTCTTTTGCAAATAATATGTTTTGTATAAAGCTCTACTTTCCTCAATATGATATAAACCTCTTAAGATGTGTCTTTTAAAATCTCCTATAGGACTAGAATGTAGCTTGGTTGGTACGGTGCTTGCCTGGCATATACAAAGCCCTGGGTCCCACTCTGAGCACTACAAACAACAGGTTGATGCTGCACAGCTATATCCTCAACGCTCAGAAGGAATGGGAAGAAGGACTAGTTCAAGGTCAAGACCTTGTCTACAAATACATACATTTTAAAAATGAAATCTCCTTACAGAGGTAAGCATTGTATGTTGTGATGGGCACTGGGTAAATGCAATCAGCAAGCATGTAAATTAACAAATAAAACTTCTAGAAAAACCTTGACAAAACATTGGGGTACACACAGGCCTATTTTCTTATCTTAAGAGAAATGCAGGTGATGCAATTCCATAGACACTTAAATATAGCCCAAATGAGACACAGATAAACCACTTATTTAGACTGACAGTATTCGCTGTTTGAATTTTAAAAACATCTGTTTGAAATGACTTTTGTGCAATGTGGATGGGGGTATATAAGAGGGAAAAGGAGTCAATTCTTACATTCTCTTTTTCCCTGCTGGATAGCTCACTTTTTAGCCTCTGGTTAAGATAATGACTTCTGCAGGTGGCAAAGCAACCATACTCTATGTGCTGACCACAGAGGTCAGCCTGTGCAGGCTGCTTTTACTTCAGAATTGCAGGGAGTTCAGTCAACTCAGAAATGAACATAGGAGTCTTGAAACACAAAATGCAAGCAGGACAGATTGTACGCTATGCTCCCAATATTAGGCAAATAATATTGAAAAGAAAGTTATCTTGCAAACAGGCATGACACATAAGTACCAGAAATAGTTGCCTAAAACTGTCAGTTTACTGAGATGTGCTTAAGTATCAAAATGAACAAATTTGACACCCAGTTCTTAACTGATTTTGTTGAATGATTCTTCTATGAATTGCTTAGAAGATATTCTACCTCTGGAAGGGAGCTTGATGTGTTCTCATTTAGTTAAACTCCACAACAATGTAAAGATTCCTCCTCATATTTTCAAGTGACTACATGATTATAATAAATTGAAAAGAATTTTTAATAAGGAAAAGAAACATAGTTTTCATCAAAGAGCCATCAGAAATTTGCCCAGAGTTACACATTTCACTTGATTTGCTTTGGAACTCACAAGTGTCCTTTGTCCTGCTCTCTGTGAACACTTGAAAAAAACTTTACACTGAACATCTGTATCCAATGAAGAATATATTAGGTGTCAGCTTTCAATTCTGTGTATTTTATAGCCTAGAAAGGTGGGTTTTTTGGCTAAAACAGAGACTGTTATATACTTTATAGTTGAAATGGACTGCTTCAAATGAAGGGAAAATGCAAGACTGAGAAGTTCTATTTTTAAAAACCCTTTACATGTAATATATTTTCCATCCATCTATTAAGACTCATTAAATATATATTTTCAATGTGCTGTATAATTGTAAGAAGTCAGTTGTAACATTTTATGGAATGATACACCACTTCACTTACATTCCACACATACCACTAACAGGGTTTAAGGAAAAGGCAGGGTATAATGCCAGTTGAGATTGCCCATAACAAATCCATATAAGCAGGCTGTGAAGAATGAATTCCTTAGGTAAAATTAACATGTAATTAATGATCCCTGCTTCACGAATCAGGCCTTCTTTATCCTGCTGTGTTAGGTAACTCACATATCATAGTATAAACACTACACAAGGTGTCTCTGCAGTCAGCACACTGCCACATTCTTAGTAGCAGTTGCCCTACCTGTCCCATGTCAAAGCATGCTTATAGAATCAAGAGTGATAGATGGTATAACTGAACCATCTTACATTATCAGATGCTTCAGCCCATATGTGCCATGGGCTTGAAGGTCAATATAAGGTACTCTGCTCTTGGAGTTGTATAATTATTTTCTGAATCGACAGTAGTGAACTCTGATTTTGCATCCTTTCAGTAATGACTGATGGCTGGCTGGCAGATAGGGACCGAGGAGTCTGACTGAGTCCCGTGGTTGGTCACTGCCCCTAGAGCAGTGGACTAAATGAATGAAATTAGCATCAGCCTCAGTATTTTTAGGGAGGGATTGGGTAACTAACACCAGCACGAGTGCTCATATATGTCAATATACAATATCTTCCAAAAAATCGGACATAGTTTGCATAAAGACTGGCTCTCAATCTATAAACTGTTTTAGACTGGCACCACCTGAGTATGGGGGCAAGAATCCCTTTATCTTCCACAGTAAAAAGGGTTGTGTTTTTCTCAAAAAAAAAAAAAATAGCAGTACTAGATTCCCAAAGAAGAGACTGTATCTAATATTCACATTTGACATTTGGACACAATGCGGCAGGCAGGCATGGTCACAGAACCGTAGAGTGCATGTTACTATTTATGCCCCTCCCCCCTTTTTAGACAAATCCACACATTAGCACATAGAGGAATTTCAGCCTTTGACCCAAGCCTTCCAGGTTCAAAGTCTATGCTCTCAGCCATTCGGCTTGACAACTTCAATATTTACTGACCGTACAGTGACTATTCCCTACAGCAGAGCATTCTCCTAAATGAAATTGTTATTGTTTCCTTTTCTTACACAGAAACATCACAGAAGTCTTCTTAGAAAAAGATGATCTTGGGACTGAAGATAATAGTCTGTGAAACGAACAGGGAGCCTGGACCATGGCTAAGAAGATCACTAAGCCATGTTCTAATGTCTGCTTTGGAACACTGCAGAAGAAAGCTGGTATAGTCTCAATTTCTAGAGATAATCCTGATGCTACAGTACCAAAATCCACTCTAATCCCCTCTGCACCTTCAACATTAATTTATTTTTAATAGTAGAGAACTCAAACATGACTTATTTTCTAGTGCAATACAAATTATTAAACATTTTTGATAATGAGTACCTTATCTCAAATTACTTGGTATTTTCAATACTACATTTTGTAGCGTGTGAAACAGACTCGTTATTGACTTAACACCAAGAACATGAGGCTCTTGGAGGAAAAGAAGCCAATAAAGGAAGAACCTCCTGTCCCAAGCCTACTGGATGGCAGCTATGTTTAATTAGCTTCAACAGATAGATGTTTACTTTTTGATAAATAAAAATGAAATAGATTTTTAGAAATAACTAAAAAATTAAAACACATATCACTCATGTTAAACTGGGAATCACTAAATTTTCTTTTCCTTGTAGAAAAGTCAGAAAAGGGAATTTGCCATAGTATCAACTATCAATACATTTCATTTTTAAAAATTATTTTTTATTTTTTTGGTTTTTTCAAGACAGGGTTTCTCTGTAGCTTTGCGCCTTTCCTGGAATTCACTCTGTAGCCCAGGTGGGCCTCGAACTCACAGAGATCCGCCTGCCTCTGCCTCCCAAGTGCTGGGATTAAAGGCATGTGCCACCACTGCCTGGCTCAATACATTTTCTTAATATAAGTAAAGTCAATTCAGCATAACAGCTTTTGGAGTAACTTAGAAATTACTCAAAATCCCTAGGTAGATATAAACACTTAAGTCTTCATTCTGAAGGCCTACAACCATTAATAAAAATGTCGACTCTTTTTGATGCAACTAAGTCTTGATGCAACTCTTTTTAACATACAAGTCTTTCTTAAAAATACAGTACCAATTGCTTCCCTTAGTATCATGAAACAAAAATAATATATGACAAAGAGAAATCATCATTTTTTAAAATATGTAAAAGCTCAAGTGAGATGAGCAATTTGTTAGTACATTTGTCTCAAAGTGAGATCAACAATATCCTCAGAAGTCCTGCTACAAATCATAGAGTTAGATGTGCTTAATTCTACATCATGGATTACTGTTATCACCCGGGGCTGGCTGTTCATTTACTAACACTCTCCACGCTCAAAGCAATGATTAAAACTGTCCTCAAGATTTGCTGGCATAAGCTTTTGGTATTATTGTATATTGTAGAGACATACATAATGGGTGAGTAACACTTGGTTCATGAGTAAAAGAAACAGAGTTGACAGCTTACAGTACAGACAGAACATGTGTATTTAATGTTAGCAGTGAGTAACAGGAGTCACCATGTCAGTGGCAGGCCAGGACACATTCTTACTGAAGATGGTGGGATCTTCAGGACCCAGCTCTGTCTTTTCTAAATGTTTATTAAAAATCTAGTCCACGGTCCCAACTACTATCAGGAAATTAGGCAGAGTTACAGGGGGGCACTTCCTGTAAGATACTCAAGAACATGTGAGTAGGTGAAAATAACATCCAGTGACCTTCTCATGAGTCATGTTGGCCACTTCAACTAGCATGCTGCCCATAGGAAAACCAGTATTAATATATAAACTGAGGTTGACTGACAGTTTATTATTGTATCTTTATCTCTATGCCTACAATTCTACAATGGTATTTATTTTTGCTACTGATTAAGCAAGATTACGGTATCTGAAAATTTTAATATCTCAGGTCACACTGGAGACATGAACGTGAATATTGGTCTATCAGCAAAACAAGCATTCTCTTACTCATCAAACAATTTTTGGTCTTTAAATAATCTTAAAATAAATTGTCCTTTAAAAAATTCATCACCAATTGACAGTTTATGTGTAGGATCAGAAACATCAAAGTTAAATCACTGACTTTCCTTAAAAAGCATATTTTAAAAGTTACATTTTAAACAAATATCCTAAAATAGGGTCAGGAAAGCTCTCTGCAAGTATGACCCTAGGAGAGCAAAAATCTAAAAGCTTTACATCTCTGTCTCCCTAAAGAATTTGGTGTTTTACATGGAAACAGGACCAACATGGAGACCGTCACCAGGACAGCTCTAGGTTCCAAGTACATAAAAGCTAAGACCTGAGAGAGAGAGAGAGAGAGAGCTACAGAATAAAATAGGTGAATATTTCTCAGTTGGTAGAAAGATAATAATTTTTAAAGATTTAGTTATGATTTTTATCTATGCATATGTGTGTCCTTGTGTGAGTTTATGTGTACCGTGTGTGCAGTGCTCACAGAAGCAAAAAGAGGACAATATATCCCCTGGAACTGGAGTTATAGATGGTATGAGTGCTGAGAACCAAGCCCAGGTCCTCTGCAAATGCAATAAACGCGCTAACTCTCTGAGCATTCCAGCTGCAAGAATAAATAACTTTACATTTGCATTTCCAATGCAAGTGCACACTAAGAGTTGTTACTACGTGTAAGAAAGCCATCTTCTAATAAAGCCATTCGTCTGTTCTTCTCTCATTATTATACAAAACATATTTATTTTCCTACCTCCAGATGTTTTACCATTTTAAACAGTCTCAAGTGTTTAGACTCCTTTCCAAATTATCCTGAAGGTCTAAGACCCCTATGCCTTGGGGTCTAAGTCTCTATCTATTTCAGGTGAATTCCAGCCCACTCAAAGGTAATATTCAATAACTACAGTTTTTTATCCCTTCAGGATCCCTTGTCTGGAAAGTTTCACAAACCATCAATTTCATTTGCTACAACTACTAATAAATATTTAACAAGTTAATCTTAATCTTTAAAAATTTATTCATTTATAATTCTTTTGCTTATTTATGCTTATTGTTGGCCTAAACTGACCCAAACCAAAACCCCAGACTCAGATTTCTTTGAAACTTAGATTTGGGGAGCTGGAAAGGATATTAAAGAGCACCCCCTCCAACTCTTTCATTTATGGTTGAGGACAGCAAGCCCAGAACAGATAGCTGAGTGACTTTGGGCATGTTTCCTACCAGCGGAACAGCCAGAAGCTGAAGCCAGGTCTCCTGATGCCCAGAGAGGAGCCAGGTCTCCTGATTTCTAATCCAAGGATCTTTCCATTACACACACTGACTCTGTTCTTTGAGGCTGTGTTGGGCTGCTCACACTGATCAAACCTCTTTGAGAATGGTCACATTGGTTAAACAGAACACCTTGATGACCTAGTCACCCAACACTGGGTCATGCCTGTGTAATCAGGCTACAGAGTTCAGGGCCAGGAAGCAGCAGTTGGAAGTCAAGCATCAACAGATTCTCTAGAGCTGTGCTCTGGATTTCTGCATCACAATTCCAAGGACCATTCGAATCTGCAGCAGATGGCTGGAAGTTAATAATGACTAACTTAACAGTCGTTAGTGTGCCCTGGAAAGAGAAAAGTAAAGGAGGCAACAACTTCCTCTATTTGAGGAAGTCTCTTCCTTGTGTTAGAGATAGCCCCGTGGTGAGGTGGAGGACCTTGCTGAGTGGAGGGGGGTCCTGAAAACCTTTCTGAAGGGTATATTGTCTATACCCACATCTGGTCATTCTGGTTAAACCATAAAGTTGGTCAAAATGCGGTGCTTATGATACAGAAAATGTAAATACCTCCCACAGACAAAGATTTTCTTTAGAAAGCAATTAAGTATAAAAGCCAGCCAGGCAGATCTCTGTGAGTTCGAGGCCAGCCTGGTCTACTGAGCAAGATCCAGGAAAGGCACAAAGCTACACAGAGAAACCCTGTCTCGGAAAAACCAAAAAAAAAAAAAAAGCCAGGATGAGCAGAGAGAATTCTGCCAAAGGCTAATGGGTTCCCAGTCTTTGCTAGAGATTCATCCTGAGAGGTGCTGTCTGTAAGCCCTGACTTCCTAGCTAGAGAGTGAACCTGTCCCTTGCAGGATTGCTTCAGTGCTAAACAGTGTAGGCAGGTCCACTCGGCCAACCACACAGCACCACACAAGCTCTGCTTACTCCACAGTCAAATCTTATATTCTGAAAACTCTGTAAGAGCATAAAGTTGTGACTCGCGCTTCTCTGGGGAAATCCACTACTGGTGATGCTGTGGCTTAATATATGATGAGCCTTTCAATGTACAAACCTATACCCTTCGCTGCTGGCGCCTTCATCCTCAGAGTTCACCAGACAAAAGCAAAGGCACCTTCAGCAGGCAGTGTCATTTCCCTCAACAACGACGCTTTTTCAAAAAGGCACACTAAAAAGAAAACAGAATCCAGTTCAAAGCTAAATTACTCGGGTCAGCCCATTTGGACAAAGCGCAGGCATTCTCCCTGAGTTCAGGCTCTGAGCAGCTTTGGAAGGTGCGCTGTAAAAGTAGGGCAAGAAAGACAGTTTTAGAGGCAGATTTCACAGAGCCTGCAGCCTGAACCAAAGCACGGGTCAAAGTGTTCAGCTGAAAACTGACGAGTCAAAAATAAATCAGACAGAACAGAAACAGTATAAGCAACTCGACCACAGATTTCCACATTCCAGCGCAGGATGCTGGAATATGAAACACAGCTAATGTGAGAGGCACTGGGAAATTCATTTAAATTTCCACAGGCTTCGGGTTTCCCAGATGAAAAATCCCAATAAAGAAGGTCTTTCTTTCCAGGTGTTGTCACATGCTTGGGAGAAGGACACTATGAGAGGGGGTAAAACACATAAGACACTGTTATCTTTGCTCACAGAGTGATATCTTATAACCTTACCTAATAGATTGGTTAACCACAAGGCCAAGTCTTCTTTCATCGGCAGCAAATTAGCTTCATGTCTGCTGGCCAGCCACTGGCTGTACTGATGCATATCAGACAGGCCCGGTCCGCTGCGAACCTTGGGGCTCAGGGCAGTGCACATCATTTATCCACTCCTAACACCTGGTGGGGAGACAGAAGAGCAGTAGCTTTTCATACAGGTTAAAACTGTAAAAATGCCACCACGACGACATTGTAATAGGGCCCATCCACGGGCTTCCATGATGTCAGAGCAGGTTATTAATTATTAAACCCAGGAGACATTAGTTGCTTTATTCGTCTCACTTTTGGCCAGCTACCTGGTAACGGCACCAATCAAAGGTCAAGGAGAACACCAAACAGTAAATGCTGAGCTCGTGTAAAACCATGTATCTGGAAAGGGCCAGCTTCCAGGGCAAGAAAGCCCATCTATGCAAACACAGTAAAAGGTGGTTAAACTGAGATTTTAGTGTCTTTTTTTTTTTTTAAGCCAGAGGTGTCTACAGATTTTGAGTGCTGAACACGCACACGAACAGTATTCATACAATTTTTAGTAAACACTTGGCAATTGTTGGTAAGACAGATGCCTAAAATATTAAGCACAGCATGCAGTTTGTTGGTGATGGTAGACTCGAGGACTCACAGTTAAAGTACTAAGCACTGGGGAGGAGAGGAGGGGGATTCAAATAGTCCCCACCACAATTCTGGAAGTCACAGAAGACCAAGACCAGAGGGGATCAGTAGCATGAGCAATCGATCCACGACGCCACAGTACAGTTAGGCTAGGATCTTGATCTTCAAGCCCCAAGAACTCTTGCTTGAAGACACAGTCTGACAGAATGCACCAGTGGAAGACACTGTTCTAACAACCGCTACTCCTGGGGGCCTTCGCTCCTCTACCATGATTTTCTCCTTTCGAGTTTGTTTGTAAACATTTTAGAGTCAAAGTACTTCAGTGTTTTACATCTACACTAAGAGTGGCAGGGAATTTGCCTAGCATGTTAGAAATCCTGTGTTAATGCACAGTACAATAAAAATAAATAAATAAAATAAGATTACTTCATAACTTGATCACTTCAGTGTATGGATAGCACAAATCTTTATTTGAATCATAGGAAAAGAATTTACAAAAATAAATACTTTAAAGTATGTAAATATATTTAAGTATTTAAATTGGCCTTAAGTATATTTTCTTTGTCTGAATTATTTTGGGGGGGACAGTCAAAAGTAATCCAAGATGGCCTCAAAATGCCATATAGCTACTATATAACTGAGGGTGATCTTGACCTTCTGATCCTGCCCCACCTTGTGAGTTCTGGGATTACAGGTATGCCCCACCATACTGGTATATGGAATGCTGGGAAACAATCTCAGGATCTCTTACATGCTAGGCAAGCACTCTCTTTGTGAGCTACAACTCCAGCTCCTGTATGAATTATTTGAAAGACCTGATGCTACTTAAGTAAAATAAGTATATTGAAGCTGTCTTTTATCTGATATAAAATTATTTCACTTTTGTTTACAATAGCTCAATCATTTCCTTTAGAGTCTACTTTACCCTGACCAGCTCTGGCCTGCAAATCAGTAGATACATAAAATAACCAAAAGAAGTATAACCAAGTGACAATAAACACAAGTGTATTTGTAACAGGCAAGTCCTTAGATGCATATAATATTCTAGATATTTCATCTGAGGATTTCAAAGTGACTAAGTTACATGCTCTCTTTGGTGTTTTATTCTTTCAGACTTTGTGCAGTATTCCTTTGTAGTTATTCTCAAACTTTATAATTTATTTAGGTTAATTTCTTTTAAGAGTTTACTTTTGAATAAATAATCTACTTCCATTTTTTTTAATGCAAAATGGAGTTATCACCAAAATCTTAGAAAAGACTGTTGGGAGAGGTAGTAGATACATAAAGTATATAATAAATACACAACTGAAAGATAAAATTCCATTTTTGATGCACTTACTCTTTTGACGTTCTCTAAGGATCTGAAATGAAGGCTTAGGAAGATGATCTGTGTTTACTACACCTTGTCATAGGCTACAAGTTTGTTAAAGTAAGAATTAGAATGTCGCTATTGTTTACTCTCTCCCAGTTAATAACATCACTGCTCAGAGTTTCTCTAAACTTCTGTGATTAAACGTCAAAGACACCTGAAATATTTTCAATCCCAATTTTTTAAAAATTATGTTTATACCCAGCAGAACAATACCTCTGTCTGTAGCTAATCAGGATCCTACAGGATGGTTAGCCTGTCAACACACATGTAATCAATCAAACACCTAAGCACATGAGTCATACATTTAAATAACTAATTGAAATCTTAAAAGGGTTACCTCTAAAATGCCTCCTTCTCCAGACACAATCTCTCCCACTACTTCCCTGAAAGTGAGATATGGTCTCACAGTAACTCTACCTACACCCTATTGTGTGCCCTGTGACTCCCATTGAAGCTTCAGAGCCCGGTGTCACGCTACAAAGGCAAGAGGACGCCTCGGGTTCTGAAGCTCATTGTCTAGCACAGAATCCATTGGGGATCGCTTACAGGGAGCCTAATGGCATGTAACAGTTGCGGTGAGTCAGAGGCACACAATCCTTCCCCTCACCATTTCTGAACAGTGAAGTTGTTATTGCCCTGACAGTAGCACCTTTATTTCCCATGCGATCTCTCTTGTGTTTCAACAGAAATGTAATCCAGACGATCTCCTAATATGAACAGATGAATCACTAAAGACAAATAAAGATAATTAAGCTAGTTTTATTTTGATATTTTGTACATAACCACAATTTTAGTAGAGATGGTCAGTAAAAAGGGGTCAGGTTTTCCCAGAGGCCAATGTGAGAGAAAGAAAGCTTAATTAGTAATTCAAATACTAGAAAGGTTAAAGAACTAAACTATGACCAATACAGAGGGACACAAAGGTATTTTAAGAGACAGAGAAGAAAGATGAGCAACCTAATTTCTCCTGCTCCATTATTCATATTTAAAATCACCACTATACTGAGCATGACTCAGTGGGCTTCCTTAAAGTCTCTACATTCAGGCCTTAGAATTGGCTGAAATCAAGCCAGAAGGTCGTGGTGCACTACTTTAATCCCAGCACTAGGGAGGCAGAGTCAGGTGGATCTCTGTGAGTTCGAGGCCAACCTGGTCTACAAAGAGAGTTCCAGGACAGCCAGGGCTACAGAGAGGAACCGTCTTGAAAAACAAACAAAACAAAACAAAACAAAACAAAACAAAACAAAACAAAACAAAACAAAACAAAACAAAACAAAACAAAACAAAGAAAGAATTGGTTGAAATCAGATAGGAAACAGAAATGGATCCAGCTAGAGGGAAGAAAATATGGAGTCTGAGGACTTCACCGCACGGTGAGGTAGACTCTCATTTAAATGACTGAACTGGAATGAATGGATGGATGGACGGAAGTAAGGAAGGGAGCAATCAAGAAAGCACACAGAGAGGGAGGGGAGGAAGAGATAGGAAAAAAGGCTAGAGATAATGACAGCAGAAGGGGGCTTGAGGGAGAGGAGGACAAGTGGAGGGGAAGCAGGCTACGATATTAGGAAATTGAGATGATCAAAGTATATTAAACATATTAGTTATAGAATTAATACATGATAAAAATTAAAAATAAAGATATGAATTGCTTAGCAAATAAAATCTAGTTTAATTCTTAAAAATTTTAAAGTTAATAATAGTTAAAAAAAGATAACTATGAAATTTGATCCTTTTATAATCTGTAATAAATATTGAGTGTGTCTAGATGAACTGTGTTATATCCTAAAGAGAAACTAAGGAAAAGATCATGCCTGTTCTTTGGAAGGCATTTAAAGTTTCCAAAACTATAAAACATGTCAGGAGTAGATTTAAAGACAAGAAAGAAAATGATCAATGAGACACTGAACAGAAAAGTCAGGATAAGGAGAACAAGTTTTCACAGCTTAACAATGAAAGATATTTTCAATAAAATTTACATAATCCAAATCTTTTAAAAGATCAAACAACAACTTTGTTAAGTATTAAACTCAACCAAATGGAAAGAGTAAGACCTCAAATATATATAGGAATTCACTAAATGGAAATTCCTGCAAGCTTTCTGTGACTAAACGTTGGTAACTGAACTGTAAGGACTTGGAATGCATAAAAATGAATCTCAAAGGGGAAACCACACAGACACGTATACAAAATCCTTCAAAGATTGTATATTTTCCCTTTCTTTCCATAGGAAAGGTGACTCTGGAATAACAATTATGGATGTGATGAGACCCGGGCAACCCCAAGGGAAGGAGAAAAAGTTAATGAGCCTGAAAGTAAAACATCACTTTTAAAGACTGTCTAGCCCATTACTCCAGAGTGCAGCTGAAGACATGGATTTTTACTCTGAAAAGAAAAAAGAGAGAAAAAAAAGAATTCTTCCATGCCACCTAGAGGTGTGCTGTGATTATGGCCAAAATGTTTTATGTTTTTTCCTAACTCTAGAAGGCTAGCATGACAAAAACAAACAAACAAGCAAAAAACCAAAAAACCCCAAAACAAACAAACAAACATACTGCAGTATTATATAGAAAGAAAAAACAGAAGCAAAAAAAAAAAAAAAAAGCATTATACTACTTATCTCCTGTGAGACTTTACTAAGGAAGGCTAATGAATGGATAGAATAAAGGAGATAAAATCCAACATCCTAAGGTGCAATAATGGCACCACAACCTCGCCATTTAGAAACTGCACATACCATAGAACTTTTCTCTTTGTATCTGACTTGTTCACTGTGTACTGTGGACACGAGCATTTCAAAGATAATTATGAAGATTCAACATTTATGACATTACTTGGCAAATATTTCAAGTTCAGTGTATTCCATATGCAATCTAAATCATCACCATTAGAAAACATGACAAAATAAAACATGCAATGACTTCTTTTGGGACGAAATTCTGTAACAAACTAGGACTTTCCCACATAGCTCCATTACTAATGTGAACAGACAGAAGAGATGGGAATGTGAGCAGGTAAAGCATGAATAAATAACCGCATGTCATTTGAGCTCCCAAACTCTCTTCATGTTGAGGATGTTGTACCCAAGCTTATGTGCGGAAGTTTAAGCAGCAAAATGAGTTTATATGGGGTTAAAAAT